TTAATTAAGTGATGGTTTACTGTAGACGACATTACCTTACAGTTTGCCGCGGAAAAAGTAATGAATCCTTTAATTAAGACTACGTTACTTTACGGCTCATATTAAAGAATGTTAATAAACGGTTCACATTTAAGTACATTTACTAACTGATGCCTTACTTTCGATGACATTATCATACGGCTTACCTTAAACTACGTACATTAACTAATACATTTCTATAGACGATGTTACAATGTAACTAACGGTCTACCTTTGAGAACAGCGTTACTGTTTCGCCGAATATCATAGACGTTTATTGATTCAATGCTTACTTTAGACGTCGTAACCGGGCGGCTTTCTCCCTGTACGATAATTAACGGATTGCTCACTTTAGACAACATTACCTGACAACTTACTTTACCGTGCGTTAGTTTACTAATGGCCTACTTTAGATGACGTAACATTTCGGCTATCATTCAAGTACGTTAATCATCTGATTGCTTACTCTTAACGAACTTTCCTTACGACCTACCTGCCAGCTCGTTGATTGGCTGATGGCTTACTTTTGATGGCGTTACCTTACATTTTACTTTACACTGCGGTCATTTACAGAAACATAACCTTAGGAAACGAAACATAATGTGTTGGTTACTATAGAGTAGGTTAATTAATCCTAGTTCTCTTTTGACGACGTTACCGTAATAAGCGGATGCCTTTGCTGATACAATTGTATGACGTTACCATACGGCTTTCTCCAGTGTACGATTGTTGAAGCCTTACTCCAGTATCAGTAGAAACGCTTGTAGTATATCAGTGTCAGTAATATACTAGAAACGCTTGTAGTATAAGAAAAGAGCCAGTAGTAAATAATAGACACACCTGTAGTCTAACAGTAGTGTCAGTTGTAATACTAGAGACTCTTATAGTGTAACAATTGTGTCAGTGGTATACTGGACACGTTGGAAGTATAACAGCTGTGTCAGTGGTATACTAGATAAGTTTGTAGTATAACAGTAGTGTCAGTGGTATACTAGACACGTTTGTAGTATAACAGTAGTGTCAGTGGTATACCAGACACGTTTTTAGTATAACAGTAGTGTCAGTAGTATACTTGACACGTTTGTAGTATAACAGTAGTGTCAGTGGTATACCAGACACGTTTGTAGTATAACAGTAGTGTCAGT